TAAAATTAATTTTTGTGAATATAAAAACGTATAATTAACCCATTTTTAATTTACATTGTAAAGTACAGATTAAGCAAAAGCTATGGATATTCATTAAAAAAGAAAAAAAAAAAGAAAAAAAAAAGTTGCTATTAGGACCCTTTTGAAAGTGGAAAGAACAGCTTCGTTTGCCGGTTTGCCCAGTACCATTTGGGCCAAGCCTGAGTCTGGGCAGACCTAGGCCCTCTCCGTGGTCGGGCTCTACGAACACATTGAAATTTTAGTTAGTTAAAAATTCGGGGCTTTAGAATGAAAGGGAATGAAGCAAATAAGGCCCATTATGTGCCTCGGGCTCCCACACTGCTTAGAATCTAATTTCCTTTTCTGTTCCATCAAAAAAAAATTTTCATTTTTGTTGACAAATTAAAATCTTATTAAGGTTTTCTTTAGTTCGGTTATTAACAACAGTTGAAATTATAATTATTAATTGATAATTGAAAACAATTGTTAATATCAGTTCAAGAGTTTTTTAATTTACATCTTAAAGATTAAAAATATAATAAATATATATTTTGTATTCATTTATGTTAATAAAATAAAAATTAATATTTAATTTATTAAACGTTCAAGTAAATTCATTCATGAGCAATAATACTAAAATCAATACCAATGATCTGTTGGTTTCAATGGAAAAAACTCGATTCTCTGGAAGAAACTTGGTTCTCATTAACTAAGATTTCGAGTTCAAGTATTATGAATAGAAAAATAGACGTTGAAAGAGTTTTTTTTCAAATAGGGTCCGATCTTGTTCAACTCTAAATTAATTATGATCTAATGTGATTTTTAGATACCGGAAGGTTAATATAAAAAAAAAAAAAAAAACTAAAATCAATGTTATATTTTAGATGTTTTATATATATTGATGATAAAAATTTATCTTTAACTTCTACCATAAAGACATTAATTTAAACAATTGTTAATTTAAAATTAATTTATAAATAAATATTTCCAAACACTCTTATCAACTATTTAAAGCAAAAGCAATTATAAACCTCAACCAAACCAAACCAAATATATCCTAACAAAGAACAGTAATAATTACTGTATCAAAACAAATGATTATATAGTCTAAAAGTTTGGATTTAGCATGCATTGAAAATGATAAGTTATTTGATCAAATTAAATACTCTAAAACATTAGGTATGGGCCAACAGAGCCAGTAATTGCAAATTATTCAGAGATGGTGGTCCATAGATAATAGGTTGTATCTGCTCCTACTCTCCTACTTCTCATCATCCCATGTTCCTATTTCTGCTCATACCCATAGCTCGTGCTGTTATTTTCCTCACTTGTTTAAGCATGCACCACCATCCAGTCCTTAAAATAAATTGATGGCACCCTCGTCATGTTTCTCTTTCCAAATGTGGTTTGTTCATGTTTTCAACCATATTTGACATAACTAAAGGCAAATCAATTATGCAGTTATGGTCGAAACTAGTAATTTAGTAAAAAGCTTTGCTTTGCTTTTTTTTTTTTGAACTGGTGAAATGTATGTTTCTTTTTGTCTTTAGTATCAATCAATCAAAATAAATTATCATGTACACAGTGGGTCAACTTATTTAAAATTTAAAATTTAAAATTTAAAATTTAAAATTTAAAATTTCATACTTAAATTTTGAGTTGTAAAATTAAAAAAAAATAAAAAATATTTTTTTATATAATTTATTATCAGATGTATTAAAAATTAATTAAGATAAATTAATTTGAAAAATAAAATTATTATTATATAAATATAATTTTATAATTATTTATTATAAATTAAGTTTTGAAGTGAATTCCTAAAAAAATTTTAAATGCTAGGCCGTGGGAAAATGCTCAACGTCACTTTGGAGTTTGGAGTCAAAAACATCATCAGCATTCAAAATAATAATAAAAATAAACACTTAAAACAGATAAGATTACATTATTTGTAAATATTATAATTTAATTTATTAATTGGCACAAATCACTTAAGGGTAGATTTACTTTGGGTAAACGGAGGAAGGAGAATAAATAGAATTTTAAATTAATTAAATTACATTATTGACAAATATTGTAATTTAATTTATTAAAAAAATTATCCACCACCTCTTCTCCCCTCAATTTCTCTTCAACCAAAAATTTTATAAGTTACATCTAAAAAAAATATTTGTTTGAAAATCTTACCTTGTCATCCCAAAATTTAGATATTGTCTTCATTGTAGTGCTATTGTATAACTTTTTTATTTCATATTTTTATAAAATTTTTACGTATTATTAAATGAGTAAATATATTTAATATTATAAGTCTCATGTGAACTAGAATACTAATTATTTTAATGACATATCATATTGTATAAAAATGTCAAACAAAAAAATTATACAAAAATTATTTCTCTTTAATGAATGAAAAATCCATACTTAAAAGGGGTTAAAGTGGATCCTACTTAAATTGGTGAATACTGTAGTAATTGTTCACAATTATTATTATTTTTGAACATTTTGACACGACTATGAGAAGGAAAATACATCTATTCAATGGCTAATGTCATTAAATTTTTAGGCAAAGTGCCACCACTAATTTCAATTATTATTCTCATTAAAAAAATCAATTAATTTTTTTTTAATGGAAACTTAAATTAATGCAAGTTCATTTTATGCTTTAAAAAAATAAATGATCAATTGTAGATAGTCATAAACAAAAATAAACTCATGCATTTGAATTTGAATTAAAGACCTAATAATTATTTATACCCAATTCAGGGCAATGGACGTCTAAGAGGTAGACATCCAAACGGAGCTTAGAATCCGCTCCGAAACCAATTTAGACAATGGCAAAACGACAAATCAGTACTATTGTCCACATCTCCCGTTTTGAGATTTGTATATGAGATATCTCCTTCTGCCCCGTCGACCCCAGGGAGTTTCCTGCTACCAAACAGACAGTGGAACGACTGTGTCTCGGTAGCTGTGCACAGCTAAGGCAGCAAGAAGAAGTAATCCCCAGAACAGAAGAAGCATTTTCAGCTTCCATTTCCAACCCATGTTACCCATGGTTTTTGTTTTGCCTTTTATGCTGCAAATGCTTGTTCTCTGAGTAGCTTCAGACCGTTCTCATTTGAAGCTGGGAACTTGTTATGTTTGTTGGGTGAGTAGATTTTTTTTTTTAGAATGTTTGTTGAGCTGTTTACTTGATTCTCGCTTACCCTCTTCACCTTTTTGGTTCCCGAGAAAATGCAGCTAGAAAAGAATGGTCTTTTTGTCTGTTGGTTCTAGTACTATTTTTTTTAATATCTTCATTTCCCCCACCTTTCAATTAAGGTTTTTATGCAGTGTTTGTTGTATTTTTTCGTTGCAATGATGGTTCTTTTGAACCCTTTTTTCATAAAATTACGGAATCTGAAAAAGTTCCTTTCTTAGTTGATAAAACTACACCTACCTGCTCGAGTTCAGGAGCTTGTAGTTGCAGGCTTTATAAAGGAAATCGAATCTCAAAAAGGTTTCTTGTTTATTATGCTACTTTTCCATATTGGCTCATGACTAGTCTTTTCTTTCTTATGTAAGCTGCAATAGATCTTGGAGGATGCATAGTTGTTTGTTTTTCCTCAACCATTTTGAAATTTCTGCAGTGGAATTTCTGTTTGGGTAGTGCTTCTTCATCTTCAACCCTTTCATTTCATCCCTTTCTCCTCTTGCTGCTGAAAACACTTTCCTGAAAACATTTTCTAGTAAAACAAACGGGTTAATGTTAGTTTGCTTTTTCTAGACAAGATAACAGGGTTTGAGTAGCATTTGAAAACATTTCCCTGTTTTGTTCTTAAAACACTACACCCCACATTTTTATTACCTTTTTCTTTACATATTTACTTTTTAATTTCCTTCTTTCACGGCAACAGAAGAGGAGGAAACTTACCTGCTACATTACAATAATGCCTCTTGATAGTGTTGGAATCTGACTTAGAACTCTCAACATGGTGGGGGTATCTATGTAAATTAGACTGTCATCTACTGTAGCTGTAGGGTCCCTTGTGACTGCAATAATGGGCCATAACTAGCGGAGGGCATTTAATGGTTGAAGAAGAAGATTGCTGTTGTCTGTTACTGCCTGGTTAAACAAGTTTTTTTTTTTTTTGCTTGTACCCATTACTTTTTCTTGGAGATATTATTTTACCATGGTTTAATTTCTTTTTGGTTAGTCTGCTTTTACCTTTATGGCACCATATGATATGTGATGATAAGGAGCAGCTGCCTTTCATATGAGCTCATTAATTTCTTCATGTTCAACTGCATTGGATTCTCCAGGTTTTTCTCGTGATTTTTTTTTCTGATCTGTTAAAGGCCTTGTGGGTCAGGAGGAAGCATTGTAGGAGGGAAGGATAAGTAACTTGATTTTTCTTTTCGAGGATCCATAAATTATGCAGACTCCAAAACCAAGGTAACCTCTCTTGCTTTCACTATTGCTTTCTCATCTCTTTGTAGAGACTTGTTGATATATAGACTGTATAATATGAGTTTATGATGGTGCTGTTTCTCTTATTTAAAGCAGTGAATGATTCTTCTTTGTTGCCATATACACAATTTTCCGGTCTTAGCTGGAATCTTGTCTCAGATATTAAATCTTGTGCTGAGTTTGTCTTTTTTCTTCGGTTTCATGTGTTTTATTCTGCATACACCACAATTTTAGGATAACATTCTTTGGTAAGAATCTGGAGCTCAAATTTGTTTCATCCACCAAAATTGTAAGGTAGTAGTTTTGTCCTGTCTTCTGCCAAGACCAGAACAGCTGCTGCAGTAAGTGAATGATAAAGATTCCATCTTTTCAAAATCAAAATAAAAAAAAATTATATTTTTGCTTAATTAACTCTCAAAGATATTAGGTTAGTTTCTTCTCTCCCTCTCCCTTTTTTTTTCTTTTTTTTTCTGGTTATGTCAGCTGTAACAAAAAAATTCAGATTTCTAACGTTTCTGCAAAAAAAGAACATTGTTAAGATGGATATTGGTTAGAGCAAGCAAGTCAAATGCTTTTAATTTAATGCAATTTAGTTTTTGGCACTGCCATGTACCATTGGCCATAGCCAGGAAGCTTACACTAGAAGTTTATTGATATTTACTTCTCAGAGAATGAAACTAAAATTTTATCAAAAAAAAGAATGAAACTAATACTGTTGCAGTTCTTCTAAGACTAAGTCAGGCAGGCCTTCTGGTTTAAGATGGTAACTTAGATATAAAGTGTATAAGTAGCTTTTGTTGTAGCATAAGATGAATTACCTACTAGTTCACTGTCCTGGAAACAAAAGAATGTGTAACTCCTAGTTTTAAAAGTCTTGCAGTTTTTTTTTAATCCTCTCTGTGTGATCTTGATGATGATTAACCAATTTTAACTACAGAAATGGATCTTCTGAAGTGCCACAAAGGGTCTCTCCCCGAGCAGTTCGTCAACTTAAGACAACTGGACTAGAGACTGGATCTTCATTGTCTCCAAATCAAGCTAGTAGAACTCCAAAAGAAAAAAGCCCTAAAGTTGTTGACCGTCGTTCACCAAGAAGCCCAGTTACTGAGGTATTCTATATAACTACTGACTACTAGACTACCTTATTTCTAGAGTTATGTGAAATGGAGAATGTTAAGATGAATGGATAACATTGTTAGTCTCCATTTTTGTACTACTGCATTAGGTGATTATGCCATGGATGAATATGGATGAATTGGAGGATCAACCCTGTTAATGGATGAATATGTAGTCTTAATGCATCTGCAGCTTTCTTTTTGCCATATTGTAATATCTATATTTAGATAAAGTATGTTGGATTTGGTTTCAGTCATTTTAGCATACATAGGGATTGGTTGATTCTATTTCCCTGTTGTCAATTTTGAAGTTGCTTTGCAAGAATTTCTAACTAGGCCTTTGTTCTTGTTTCAGAAGAAGCGCCCAAGCAGAATAACTGAATTGGAGCTACAGGTTTCTCAGCTTCAGGAGCAGCTGAAGAAGGCAAAGGATCAGTTGAGTGAATCTGAATCATGGAAGAAGCAAGCTCAGATAGAAGCCGAGGAGTCTCAGAAGCAACTATTGGCCATCTCTTCAAAGCTCGAAGAGTCTCAAATGCAGCTTCATGACTCATCCAATTCCAAAGAAGCTCATGTTATTAAACTCCAAAAGAGCTCACAAGAAGAGGATCAGGGTGATGAGGAATGGAAATCTGAGGTTGAGGCTGTCCAGAAACAGCATTGTTTGGATTCAGCTGCTTTGGCTTCTGCCATGAATGAAATTCAGCAACTTAAGGCTGAGCTCAAAAAGGTGGCCGAATCTGAAGCCACACAAACCAAGCAAGCAGAAGCAACACATCAGGAGCTTCACTCCTTGAAAGGGAACTTGATGGAAACTCTTTCTCTCATTGAGAATATGAAAACCCAGCTAAAAGATAGCAAAGAATTGGAAGCTCACGCCCAAACCTTGGCTGGTGAAACTTTGCTGCAACTGGAAACTGCCAAAAAATCTGTTGAGGCACTCAGGTCAGAAGGCACTAAAGCCATTGAAGCTTACAACTCCATTGCTTCTGAGTTAGACCAGTCAAGGGCACGGGTGAATTCACTAGAAGAACTTGTTAGCAAACTCAAGGCAGACGTAGCCAAATCTAGCTGCAACCTCTCTTTGGAGTTTGACAGTGATGGCAAAGTTGAGAGGGAAACCGGAAAAAATCAAAAGTCAGAGGAACAGTGCCAGCTTGAAGCAGAAGTTTCTCTCTTGAAGTCTGAGATTCAATGGTTGAGATTTGCTCTTGAGAATACTGAGACTAAAACCCAGGAACATATTCAAAGCACAGTTCAGATACAGAGTGCTAATGCACTGGTGGAGCAGATAGAGTGTGGAGCCAGCAAGAGAGAGGCTGAGCTGTTAGCAGAACTAGAGAAAGCAAAATTGGATATTGAAGAGTTGAAGGCAAATCTGATGGATAAGGAAAATGAATTGCAGGGCATTGTAGAAGAAAATGAGGGGCTTCACATTAAGCTTGAAAAGATGCTTTTGAGTGAGCGAGAAACTGAACTGGAAAATGAGTTGAAGAAGTTAAATGAAGTTGTTGCTGATTTGAAGGCAAATATGATGGATAAAGAAACAGAACTGCAGAATATATCTGAGGAGAATGAGGTGCTAAGGTTGGAAATCAGTAAAAGAGGCCTGGACAATGGTAAAGCAAATGATGAGATTGTTGCAGAGCTAGAGGTGGCAAGAGCTAGAGAGAGGGAGGCTCTCACGAAGCTTGGTCTTGCAATGGAGGAGGCAGATAAGAACAACAGGAGGGCTGCACGGGTGACCGAGCAGCTAGATGCTGCACAGACTGCTAGTTCTGAGATGGAGTCCGAGCTCAGAAGGCTGAAGGTACAGTCTGATCAGTGGCGGAAGGCAGCAGAGGCAGCTGCTGCAATGCTGTCAGCAGGTAACAATGGGAAGTTTATGGAAAGAACCGGATCGCTGGATAGCCATTATAATTCAGTCACTGGAAAAGTCAGCTTGCCTTACTCTGATGACATGGATGATGACTTGCTGAAGAAGAAAAATGGGAATATGCTAAAGAAGATTGGTGTGCTGTGGAAGAAGCCACAGAAATAGAACACCATGAGATGTGCTGAGTATTTATCCTACAACCTTTCCTACTTTTATGTTTTCTATGTTCCTCTAACAAAGGGGCGGATCTTTTTGTTTTGAAGTCCAAAACGGCAGTCATTTGGAGCTCTTTTAGTCTATATACATATGGTGGTAATGCTTGGTGAATTCTGGAAGCAAAGATCTCTAGATGATAATGTAAGATAATGGGTGTCATATTTCATCACCTTATGGCTATGTAATCAAACTTTTCTACCACTTGTTAATGAGGGTGGCAGCTTTTGTTGTGGATTAATCTAAGTTGCATTTTTTTAAAAAATAATTTTCCCAAGCTCCTATGCTGTAGGAATTAAGACCAAGAAAAGAACATAGAAGAACATGGCATTACGACATTGCAGGGAGAGAGTACAAGTTTTTCGATTTCTTGCTGAGTCCTTAGGTGTAATACGTATTGGGCTGAAACAACAAGCCCAGAGGAGATGGATGAGAAATTTTGGGTTCACCACTCGGGCCTTTCGAGATATATAATATTTATTAGATTAAATCTTAAAACTGTAACAAAAGGCCCAATCCCAAAAAAATAAAAATAAAAATGGAAAAAGAAGAAAGGCTTGGGCCGAAGTAGAAAACCATTGGCCTCTTAGGCCCAGGACAAAGGGCCGTTCAAATCACAACAATTGATTGGGGTTTCAGTCTCCTGTGGTGTGTCCACACAGTGACGGTGAACCTCCG